GTCCTAGTAGGTGTAGCCAATGTAGCAGCCAGCAAAGTCACTGCCTTGTCCTCCTCGTTCTGACTGCAAGGTCTCTTCAGTTTGCTGACTCTGGCTTGTCTGTACATTCTTCCCTTGGCTGCATGAGAAAATCGCCTCTGTTCCCTTTGCCATGTAGGGCACAGAGGTTGTTTGCAGAGGCTGCTTTAGGTCTTCTGCTGACCTTTCCCCTCCCTTCTTCTGCTCCCTCTGCATAATGGGTATGGGAAAATACTGAGGTCTAGCATGTTTCGTGGGCTACTCCTGGGAAGGGGCAGCACAGGCTTCTGTCCTGGGGTTTTATGGCCTGTTAAGGGAGACAGGGCCAAGACCCCCTCTCTGGTGAGCCACAGGACCTAAATCCTCTTACTCCCTCTCTCTTCTTTTCCATCTTCCAAGTTTGAGAAAACTTTCTTTACTATCTAGAGCAAGAGAAAATGACTCTTACAGCATATATTGTAAATTTTCTTCCTTTGCCAGGTCCTTGGCTTTTGAAGCCTGAAAGCTAAGAATGGGCTCTTTTGTTCCCTGTGTTCTGCTGTGTCATCCTTACCCTAAAGCAGGAAGATGGAATGCTCTGGCTGCCTGGGCTGGGGGAAGGTCACAGGGAACAGGGAACAGTGGCTGAAAACCCTGTTAATATCTGCAAATTCTATTTGTCATCTTCAGCCAGAACTCCATCACAATTTTTGGGATGCATTCTATTATTTTCTAGTATTTTATAATGAGCTGGTGAACACATTTAGTATGTTAACCTGAAATTAATTAATTAAATCATTTGATATATAACCACTGTGATATTAAATTCATCTTTTTTGTTGATTTATAAAGAAAAGAAAATTTATTCTAGGGAACACACCTGGTGAGGGTCTTGGTGGTGAATTTAGTGACGCAGGGTATCACATTGTGAAATGGCAGAGCAGGGAGAGCAGCGAGAGTGCTTAAAATTCTCTTCCTAATCTTTAGTTTCTTAAATTCTAATTTGCTATTTATTCAAATCAATTATTAATTCATTCTACATTTATTAAGTACCCAGTTAGTGTCAGCAACTGTGTTTTCTGCTGGAAGAAAATATGAGACAAAACAAATAATCCCTTCTCTCAAGGTGCTCTCCTTGTGGTGGCAACACAGACAAATCACCCAGTAATTATAAAGAATGTGATATGAGCTATAACAATGGAGTGCATAGAAAAGGGAGCAAAAAAGAGAAACCGCTAACTCTGGTTGGTGAAGTAAGGAATATCTTCGCAGAAGAGATGGCTCTTGAGTTGAGTCTTGAAGAATGAATGGGTATTCAAGTAGAGAAGGATGGAGGAAATTGAAGTTGTGGGGCAGTGGGAAGAGAAGGTAATCAGGGAAAGGAAGCGGTGAAGCCCCATAAAGTGCATCATATGTTTGAGAATGAAGAGATGGTCTGGATGGAGAGTAGGGGAATGGGGAGCTGCAAATATAATTAGAGAGATCTGAGCTTTGTGCTCTAGAAAATGTATCTTTATTCAGTTATTTTTATTTTTATTTTTTTCCTTTTTTGTCTTTTTTACTGACCGGTAATGGGATCGCAACCCTCGGTGTCGCGCCGGTACCGGGGACCGGCAACGGGATCGCAACCCTCAGTGTTGCGCCCGCACCACACTCAGCCAGTGAGCGGGAATCAGTCTGTATGTGGGATCCGAACCCTCGGCAGGAGCGCCGCTGCGCTCCCAAGCAGCGCACTCTCCAGTGCGCCACCGGGCTGGCCCCTTTATTCAGTTATTTTTAAGCAGAGAAGAAAAGTGGATATGGGAGAGGCACAGAATGGAAGAGGGAGAGTGCGCACAGGAGGGAGAGAGATCACACTGCGCTTGGGAGGAAGGAAACAAGGTAAGAGACTACATCAAACCTTTCCAATTTTATACCACCACACTAGCTCAGGCCCTTATGATTTCTCATGTGGTATGAACTTTTTAACTAGAATTTGACTGCATCTTAAAACTTTTAATTAATATTGACATCATTAATTCAGATTGGGATATTAGAGGAGCACTTTTGGAAAAAAAATGTGTATTCACTTGTGGATACCATAGGTAGAGCTACCTATAAGGCCACTCAGGATATTTTTCCATCGGATTGTTGGAAATGCTTTTCATGAATATATTCTTTGTGCCTTTTTTGGGGTATGTGGGTGGGGTTGAGAGTGAAAGGCGGGGGGCCAGAGGTTGCTATATTGCTTCATCATTGAGTAAACATCATAGACTTGTGTTACATGTACCAAATATTTTTTAGTTGTATCTTGTCCTCTTATTTTTCTTCTAAATTCAAGTGATCAAATATACAATTGAGTACTTTTTATGTGCATGTAATTCTGTAAAATTCTGCAGGTGAGTCATTGGTGGTAACAAACAAATAACTTACCATCTGGTTCAAGTATGTAACGAAGTCAAATGTATAAATGATTATAAAGCAACTTATATAAAACACATTACATACTAGAGTATAACATTTTTGACAGGGCAGGATAGATTAACAACAAGGTAGTAAACAACCCCACAATCTCAGCGGCTTAACAGAACAAAAGTTTATTTCTTACTCATGAGGAGTTTGCTGTGTGTCTGGGAGATTCTCCAGAACAGCTGTTCGAGAGTGCTGTCTCAGTATTCCGGGCTGCTTCCATTTGGACGTGATGTTTCCATGATGACCTCTGAAGAGCAAGAATGGGCCAGAGCGTCTACTACTGGCAATTAAATGCATCTACCCAAGACATGACCCAAGTCACTTCTGTTCACATTTCATGGTCAAAAGGAGTCATATGACTGTGACTAACTTCAAAGGGGCAGGAAAGAGCTATCTTCCCAGGATCTGGAGAGGATCACATATTCGTAAACAGTGATAATGTTCATCAATGAATCTAAGATAAGCATCACTGAGATTTTACAGTGAAAGGGCTAAGAGTGTTCCAGAGCAGGAAGCAATCATACTTAGCGTGTCGTGCAATAAAACATAATTCAACTTTTTTTCTGTCAATAGAGAAAGTTTGATCTTCATTGCTTCACTCTTTTATGCCAGTAGGAATTGGCCTGCTGGGGCTCCAAATTCAATCGTAGCTCCCAAACTTGTAAATCTATAAGACTTCCATGCTTTTTCCCATATCTTTGTTCTTTTTTTTCTCTTTTAAAAGTCTCAGATATGCATCCTACGGAAATGGAATCTGTGTAAGAGAGTTTCTGGTAAGGTTCTAACAAGTCTCAGTTGCTTCTTGAAGGCATGGGTCAATTTTGCACAAAGGTTTTCCAAGTAGTTAAGCCAAAGGACTTAACTTACTTAACTAATAATGTCTGCATCTTGGAACTTAGATGCTAATTAGTAAGAGAGCGATGAGGTTGCCCCCAGAAATTCAGTATAGGGATAATGGCAGTTAATCATATTGACCCTACATAAATAGGAGGAAAACATGGCTCCACCAGGGCAGGATAGATTAACAACAAGGTAGTAAACAACCCCACAATCTCAGCGGCTTAACAGAACAAAAGTTTATTTCTTACTCATGAGGAGTTTGCTGTGTGTCTGGGAGATTCTCCAGAACAGCTGTTCGAGAGTGCTGTCTCAGTATTCCGGGCTGCTTCCATTTGGACGTGATGTTTCCATGATGACCTCTGAAGAGCAAGAATGGGCCAGAGCGTCTACTACTGGCAATTAAATGCATCTACCCAAGACATGACCCAAGTCACTTCTGTTCACATTTCATGGTCAAAAGGAGTCATATGACTGTGACTAACTTCAAAGGGGCAGGAAAGAGCTATCTTCCCAGGATCTGGAGAGGATCACATATTCGTAAACAGTGATAATGTTCATCAATGAATCTAAGATAAGCATCACTGAGATTTTACAGTGAAAGGGCTAAGAGTGTTCCAGAGCAGGAAGCAATCATACTTAGCGTGTCGTGCAATAAAACATAATTCAACTTTTTTTCTGTCAATAGAGAAAGTTTGATCTTCATTGCTTCACTCTTTTATGCCAGTAGGAATTGGCCTGCTGGGGCTCCAAATTCAATCGTAGCTCCCAAACTGGTAAATCTATAAGACTTCCATGCTTTTCCCCATATCTTTGTTCTTTTCTTTCTCTTTTAAAAGTCTCAGATATGCATCCTACGGAAATGGAATCTGTGTAAGAGAGTTTCTGGTAAGGTTCTAACAAGTCTCAGTTGCTTCTTGAAGGCATGGGTCAATTTTGCACAAAGGTTTTCCAAGTAGTTAAGCCAAAGGACTTAACTTACTTAACTAATAATGTCTGCATCTTGGAACTTAGATGCTAATTAGTAAGAGAGCCATAAGGTTGCCCCCAGAAATTCAGTATAGGGATAATGGCAGTTAATCATATTGACCCTACATAAATAGGAGGAAAACATGGCTCCACGGCTTCACAGAAAATAACACCACCATTAAACTACAGTGAAAATCCTGGGTTTTTATTTTTCCTCTAAGCACTTGGGAAAAAGTCAATAACCTTAGTGTCTTTTTTATTTATTTTGTGTTTACCTCTTATCCACTTAATTATCGTTCAGTAAGAATAAAAAGAGAGAATGGGTCCAACTTACTAAAATGGGAAAAGGAATACTTCTTTACCTGTTTTGAGATTAGAACGATCAAGTTATCCCTAAAATGTTTTTTGAGTTCTTTGGAAATACGCATTACCAAATATAAAGGTCAGGAAATCTCTACATTAGCACTGAACTGGGGACATATAACAGATAAAATATAATTTCCATATTTTAAGAAGTTGGCTGCACTAAGAACTAGAAAGACTCATGTTGTCAAACAATGTTATGCTTTAAAGTGGAAATTGGAATTAAAAATATTTTATCATAATGTTGTGATTTAAAATCANGCCGAGGCGAGCGCGGGGACCCGGTGCGGCAGTTGACACAGTTTCGGCGGCACCGTTGGCGCGGGAGTTGGGGGCGCGGTGCGCCCGGCGGGCCTGCCCCGTGTGCTGGCGAGGCGCGCGTTATGGAGCCGCCCAGCTGCATTCAGGATGAGCCGTTCCCGCACCCCCTGGAGCCCGAGCCGGGCGTCCCAGCGCCGCCCGGCCCCGNCCGCTGGCCCCTGTCCTGGGGCGTGGGACTGGGAGAGGGGGTGTTGGGGGGCTTGGGCGAGCGGCGGGAGCGGACGGCCCGCAGGAGCTGGGGAGAGGGAGGGAGGCGACAGCGGTCCCGGGACAGAGGAGGAGCTGGCGCGTCGGAGGAAGACGCGGGGAGAAGCGCGCGTCCTGGGAGGATCGCGGTGTCTGGAGATGGCTCGCCTGTCCTTGGCCAGTGTGTGCACGTGCGTGTGGAAGAGGGAACGCAGGGAGAGGGTTGGGTTCCTAAAGGCCCCTCGCTAGTTCTTGGTGGGTCCTGCACCTTAACCCGTTTGGCTGGTCACGTCAACATAGCAGCAGCCCCTGCAGGTCTCCCGCCCAGGGGGAGAGAATTGAGGGGCCTAAGGAGCAGAGCTTAGGGAAAAGTTAGTAGACGCTGTCAGATTGTCAGCAAAGTACGATTCTGCATTTGGATGTTGAGTGCAAAGAAGACCTTTTCTGCAGTTTTTTACACAGTCATTGGAGACAGAATCAATACATTCTTGGGTGATTTAAAAATCAGTGTAGTCAAGTGGTTTCAAATGTCATTTTAAAAAATGATTTTAATATCATTTTCCCTTCTAATAGCATTTCTCCAAAGTTTACTAAGTTGAAGTTTTCTGACCAAACAGTGAACTTTTACTTCCTTAGAAACAGTTACGTTCCGTCCTTATCTAATAGCGAGAGGACTCTAAACCAAACTTTACCACATTGATTATGCCTTTGAAAACAAGATTTTTTTTTCTCTTTAATGTGTAAAGAGTTTTTTTTTTTTTATAAAACATATTAAAACCCCTCAAAATGCTGTCTTACAAATAGTTATTTAGTGTTTGCAAGGGACTTTAAGTTCTTTAGAAAAAAGTGTTGTCTAAATATAAATAAATAAACTCTCAGGTTGCACCATGTGGTGTCCTTTGGTAGCTGGGAAATTAATAATAGTCAGATGAGAAAAACATCCTATAAATAAGGCTTTAATTTTTTTTCTTATTTCATAATTCAATGTAATTGAAAGGCTTTCTGTTTGTCCAATAGTTTTTAACAAAAGGCCTGCAGCTGAATTGAAGAAAATAAGAGTTCATTGTCTTAGGTTTCATCAGTTACTTTGTAAATAGTTTAATATTTTAAACTTTGTAAGTAGTTTAACAATCAGAATTCCCAGTGTGAAGAGAGCAATTTTAATTTCTGACACTGTGTGTTCATGGTAAAATATCTTACTACAAACTATCTAAAAATCCTAACCATGATTAAATGAATTTCATTTTATGCTCATTTATTCAAAACTTATTTTTAGCTTTCACATATGTCAAAATTGGAAAGTTTCTGAAAGTTATTGCCATCTTTATCATGTTAAAATTTTATGGTTCTGGCAGTAA